TTTGTTGGTATGTGGCGCTGAGGATCGAACCCGGGCCGCACGCATGCCAGGCGAGCGCGCTACCGCTTGAGCCACATCCCCAGCCCCCTCTGACACAGTCTTAATTTGAGTTTTGCCTTTGGCCCCCCTCTGCTCTGCCACTTGGTGGCGTGACATGGAGGCAGTTGTGGGAGCGCTGTGGGTCTRTTTCCTCTGTGAGTGAGAGGATGATCGTGCCTGCTGTGCGGGATTGCTGTAATATTCACTTAGTGACTGTATAAAGACGCTCAGAACAGCTCTTGGCTCGTCGTATTATCTTCCTGTGTTTGCAGTTGTTATTCAGGGAGGACGTGCGTCCTTTGTGTACAGGGGGACTGCCATGTCATGTAATGTGACCCTATTAAATTGTCATCTGAAGAAAGGGTTTGGCAGTAAAGAAAGGGATTTGGGAACCATGGTATCAGACAGCTGCGTCTTGGTGCTCACACCCTCAGGGCCAGCCGTGGGACATCTGATCCACAGCACTGCTGAAGATAGGGGTATGAGGTTGTCCCCTTGTCAGGTAGAGCAGAGAGAGTCCTTGCTTGTTTTAGGATAGTCACAGATTCCTGCCGTCCTCTGACTTAGCAGGCAGGGCCCCTTCCACCAGAGTAGTTCCCTTTGATAGGGAGCTGGGCATCCACCAGGGGTTTGTTTGAAAAGAGGGTTTTACTTCCATAAATAGGATATTACCTCTCTAGAACAGAAGATATGAATGGGTGGCATGTACTTTAAGAATTGTATTCATTAAAGACACCTAAAAAATACCACAGTTTCTCATTGAAACAGACATCCTATAATACCAGTGATGTGGGAGGCTGAGGTATAAGGATCAGAAGTTGGAGGCCAGCCTTAGCAASTTAGCAAGATGCTGTCTCAAAATAAAAAATAAAAAAGCTCAGTGGTAGAGCACCCCATTACCAAATAAATAAGTAAATAAATATAAGTCTCTTGGGTATAACTTAGTGGTAGAGTACTTCCCTAGCATGCACGAGGCCCTGAGTTCCATCCCTAACAAAAGAGAAGGGCTGTGGGAAGGAGAAAGAAAGAGCTAGTTAGCTGAGTTTCTGCCACCTTTTGAAAACCCGGATTGTCATCTGAACATTGGCCTCCCTCTTGACACACCTCTGCTTTCCCGTCTGCCCATGAGTCATGTCTGCAGCTCCTGAGTTTGCCTCTCCTGCTCTATTCTGGCTCCTTTTTTTACAGACAGCCTGGGAAAGAAGAGGCCCCCCCTGGGTCACCCACAGGGTTGGTGTGATTCCCCCAAACCACTCACCAGGCTAACAGCTGCCTCTTCTCCACCAGGTGTACTGATGTATCGCGACTATCCCCTGGAATTGTTCATGGCTCAGTGCTATGGCAACGTGAGTGACCCAGGGAAGGGGCGCCAGATGCCTGTCCACTATGGCTGCAATGAGCGCCACTTCGTCACCATCTCCTCTCCACTGGCCACCCAGATCCCTCAGGGTGAGGATGCATGCCCTGACGCTCATGTGTGCAGACCCATTCACACCTTCTGGTCCCYGTCCCTTCCCCAGCCCTCACGGGTGGGCTTGTGTGTGGGCTTCCCRATGGTGCTGCTCTCAGACCCTGGCCTGTGCTCTGGACTTTCAAGGTACTTTTCATCTGGGACCCTTTTGAGGAGGCCCCAGTAATGTYCCCACCCCATTCAGCAGCCTTGAGCCAGCATGACCACAGTCTAGGTTTCCCAGGCTTCCACCYGCCCTGTCCCACTGCTCCTGGGGGAGCACACAGGCCAGAGTGCCCCTGCRTGTACACCAGGGTCCAGGCTCTGTGCAGGTGCTTGGCTTCTGTTGTCCCACTGCAGTGCCATGGGGGTAAAGGTTATTATTTGCTATTACACCTGTTATAAAGAGCAAGAAATTAAAGTCAAGGAGGGAAAGTCAAGTGACGTGCTAAAGGTCTCCTGACAGGTAGGGAGTAGAAGAGCAGCTGGAACCGTGGACCATGTGACCCCAGAGCCTAGGTTCTGTCTCTACTCCTTGTTGGCCTCAGTCCCCAATCAGGCACACTCCTAGAGCTCATTGGGTACCCTAAATCCCCTTTATACAGGGTGGATGGAGACAGCGAGGGGTGGGAGAGGACTGCGGATATGCAGGGTGGGTGGGCCTTGTTATCTTTACCTTTTGCAGGGACTTTGACCCTGAGTGCTCTGGGAGCTGTGGGTTGGAGAGGATTCTGTCATGGGGTCACTTTGCCTGGCTCTCGTTTTAAGAGTCCTCGGGCTATCCCTTGGATAACAGATTGCGGGGCAGGGCACCAGTGAGGTGGCTGCTGGTTAACTCTGGCATGAGCAGCCCGAGGCTTGGCCCTGGGGTGAGAAGGGCTTGGATTCTTGTTATATTTTGAAGGTGGGTAAATGTGGGGGATGACAGAGTATTGAGTCAGGGATGCTGAAGTTTCTGGACTGAGCAATTGGAAGGTGGTGTTTGGTGGCAGAGAGGCCGAAGACTCAGGTGGGCAGGCTCTGGGGGGTTCCTCTCTGTGTCTAGTGACAGCTAGTCTGAGCCCAGGTTCTGGTGGGGCATGTGCGAGAGTGTTTTTTTTGTGTGTGTATGTGTGTGTGTGTGTGTCTGCTCCTGCTCACCGCCCTCTCATTGCTCTGCAGCCGTGGGGGCAGCCTATGCAGCCAAGCGAGCCAATGCCAACAGGGTTGTCATTTGTTACTTCGGCGAGGGGGCAGCCAGTGAGGGGGATGCCCACGCTGGCTTCAACTTCGCYGCCACCCTCGAGTGTCCCATCATCTTCTTCTGCCGGAACAATGGCTATGCCATTTCCACGCCCACCTCCGAGCAGTACCGAGGGGACGGCATTGGTAAGGCCCACTGCCGCCTGCCTGCGGACAGAGCCCTGGAGGCGCGMGGCGCTGTTCCCCACCCCCTGCTCTGCTTCGCTCTCCTCCTCGCTCTGCCTTCATTTCCTTGCTCTGGACCTGGCTCAGTGCTCTGCCTCACTCCCTGCTCTTCCCTCGCGCTGCACGTTTCCCTCATCTGAGCCCTGGGGCCTCCCTGTCCCTGCAGCTGCACGAGGCCCCGGGTACGGCATTATGTCAATCCGAGTGGACGGCAATGATGTGTTCGCTGTATACAATGCCACCAAGGAGGCCCGGCGGCGGGCTGTGGCAGAGAACCAGCCCTTCCTCATTGAAGCCATGACCTACAGGTGCCTGCCTGTCCCGTCGCCACCCCCACAGTCCTGACAGCTACCAYCTGTAGTAGCTCCCTCACTACTGCCCCTAGAATGTGGCTTCCACACCTGGGGGCCATCCCCCTCCCTGCCTTTGCTCCCTTTCCACCCCTTCCTCCCTAGTCCCCCCATCTCTCTGACCCCTACTCCAGGGGCCCCAAGTTGACCAGGGCCCCTCCTGGGCAGGATTGGGCACCACAGCACCAGTGACGACAGTTCGGCGTACCGCTCAGTGGATGAGGTCAACTACTGGGACAAGCAGGACCACCCCATCTCAAGGTTGAGGCTCTACCTGCTGAGCCGTGGCTGGTGGGACGAGGAGCAGGAGAAGGCCTGGCGGAAGCAGTCACGCAAAAAGGTTAGGGGCCACTGTCACTTAGGCTGGGCGTGCTGGGGGGGCTGCTGTGCTGTGGGTAAGAGCTCTGGGAGAATGGGGTGCTGGGATCTGGGGTTGTCAAGCTGAGAGACTCAGAGGGTAACCCATTGTGTCCCCAGGTGTGGCTTGTGGTATGAGGCTGTCACTTGGCCTCAGCCACATCTTGCAGTATGTCCTGGGCAAGCTGTCCTGCCACTTCCTCACCCCTGGAGAGGGTACTAGAGTGCCCCATTTAGGGGGTGACCTGAGGACGCGGCAGCTTAGTCCCTGAGCAGTGGAGATCCGCTTGGAGACAGTCTGACACAGTTAACTTCACCTCCTTTGTCTTCATCCTCTCCATTGTCCAGATGGGAACATGGAGGTTCAGCAGCTAACCCCTGGCTCAGGCCCCACAGGGAGAGGCAGGGCCATGGGGAGGTGTATGCCTCCCACCCTCTGGTGTCCCCCAGGTGATGGAGGCCTTTGAGCAGGCCGAGCGCAAGCCGAAGCCCAGCCCCTACCTGCTCTTCTCGGACGTGTATCAGGAGATGCCCACCCAGCTCCGGAAGCARCAGGAGTCCCTGGCCCGGCATCTCCAGACCTATGGGGAGCATTACCCCCTGGACCACTTTGACAAGTGAGATGCTCCCCAGCTACTCGGATAGGTGCCACACTCTTGAGCTGAGGAGGGAGGCCTGGCAGGATGCCCACCCCCACTGCTTCCCCAGCCAGCTCTAATAAATTACTGGTGGCTGGGTTGTGCCTCAGACTGTGGTGGTGGCTCCTACTCCCCATCCCTCCCCTCCAGGCAGCTCCACTTGGGGGGCCATGTTTGCAGCAGTTGCTGAGACTTGGTCAGCTCCTCTTCACCTGTTACAGTGCCTCCTCCCAGGGGCCAGCGTGCCTAGGAACCTGAAGCTCCTCCTCTGGTGGGTGGGGTGAGATGGCAGGGTGGCCTATGGAGTTTACTCAGTGACAGTTGGTCAGGGGAGTAAATAAACTCTGCGGCTCTGCCTGTAGCTCTTCAGCACCTCTGGTCTCTGTTACCTGGAGTTTGGGGGTCAGGGGAGGGTCCAACATGACTAATCTGGGACACACCCGGCTTCTACACATTAGATACATAAGGACAAAGCTGTTGAGATATTTGCTTCCCCTGCAACTTCCACAGGCTGGAGGGTCAGGTTTGGCAGATGGATGGGGTGGTGGGAGGCCCTCCAGAGATGGTCCTCTGCTCTCCCATGGGATAGCTCAAGCCTAGTGWCCAGTAAAGTGACCAGGATACCTATCAGATCTGCCACTGCAGGAAGGGGTGTGTCTACAGTGAAGGTCCAAGGGCAGCTGAGCTCTGCTTCGTTGCACCCCGCGGCCCCACAAATGCAAAAACCATTTGAGGCCTCAGAGTGGGGAGTACATATTTTTCAAAAACAAAAGGTAGACAAAAACAAGCTGTTGCCTCATCCTTTCTGTCCAGTCCCCTGGACAGAGAGTGCCCAGGAGTGGCTCAAGCAGTCCAGGATCCAGGACCTGCACCCTCACACCAAGGCCTGGGGGCGGGGGGCAGACCAGGTTAGCCCCTTCTCCTCTCGAGGCTCAGCACTGCGGCTGCAGCTCCTGCAGCTGTCTCCAGAGCCGAATGCTGTCCTGGGGGCTGAGGGGCCGCACCAGCAGCAGGTCTCGGAGTGTACAGGGGTCTGTGGAGCGGTCTGCTGGCCAGGCTGTGAGGAAGCCTGGGTGTGTCCGTGGCACTAGACCCAGGGCTCGGAAGCAAAGGCCTGTGTAGACATCATCGAACGGGAAGGGTGCCACGCGGGCTGCTGCCTGCAGCAGCCAAGGAGCCAGGCGCCCTGCGATGACGTAGCCACCCCCGCTCGCATAGGCTGGGTAACCACCTTCAAAGAAGGACCCGGGCACATAGAAGGGTCCCCCAGGCTTCCTGAGGGGCTTGGCCTGGGTGAAGACCTCACCCAGGTAGAGACTTCGGGCCCAGGTGGGCGGCAGGGCCTGCAGGTGATCCAGCAGGGCGGGCATGTGTACAAAAGCATCGTCCTGAGCTTGCAGGACAAAATTCACCTCCGGACAGTGGTGGCCCAGCCAGGCCAGCAACAGCAGGTCTTTGAGCGTCCGGTTGTAGGGGACGTCAAGGAAATCCCAGAGCAGCAGGTCATTGTAGCGACGGCTCTCCCAGGCCACCAGTGAGCGCAGGTCAGGCCCCCCCTCACCCACTGGGGACCCCAGCAGGAAGAGCCGCCGAATCCCAGGAGCTGGACGGCCCCACGTCTCCCTCACGGCCTGTCGTTCTGCAAAGCGTCCTGGTTCCGACTTGACAGCCAACAGCAGGAAGGGGACGTTAGTGTCTGAGCAGCTGGCTACTTGGCTGCCTTCAGGCAGCCACTGTGGAAAGCTCCGGCAGGCTGCTGACAGCAAGAAGCGACGGAGGTCCTCAGGGTAGGAGGTGAAGTCTGGGATCTCAGCAGCAGCAGCAGCTCCCCAAGCCTGGCAGCCCCCTGCCTCAGCACTGTTCTCACTGGGCAGGGCTCTCAGCCGCCACTGTTGCTGGTTCCAATAAGCTGAAGGCAGTGGGCCAGTCTGGCCCAGGCGGGCTGAGAGGTTGGCAGGCAGGGTGGGCTCAGTGCTGGCTGATGTGGGGCCTGACAGTGTACCCCGGGGTCCTGGGTAGGCCTTGCTAAGCCGGGATTCGGAGGTCCACTCGATGTACACTTTGAGGCCCAGGAGCGTGAGCAATGCTGACAGGCAGAGCAGACACTTGGGGCAGCGCATGACCTGGCCCAGGGAAGGGGCAGCCGAGGGAGCTGCAAAAGGGAGCCACAGGGGAGCTACAGAGGTGTGACCAGCCTCTAGAGAGGGCCCAGCCGGGCCCCAGGCAAATTGCCTCAGTTTTTCACTGTCTTAGCCAACCCTGTAATGGCTTCTCTCTTTCTCTGACCCCAACAGGTCACCCCCAGCCTGCCAGGGACCCAACTGGCCTGGGGACTTTCCCCTCCATTCCAATCCCATTCTTTTTCCACCTTCCTAAAAGCCCTGGAGGTGACCTAGTCCCCATTTCCACTGGTCWCCATTCCTACCTCCTCTTCTCTCCATTCTTCCCGGGAATCAGGATCACTTGATTCCCAGCTGGCTGGGGGGTTCCTTTCACTTCTCAGAAACCCAGCCTCCCTCTCCCAGCAACACTACTCCAGGGACAGGGTTGGGGGACCCCGGATCTGTCTCCTCTGTACCTTTTGGTCTGGCTCCCACCAGCTCCGGCGCGGCCGGGCCTCTGGTCAGGTTTTCTCGGTGCTGCCCCTGCCTGAGTGTGTCAGGCTGCCAGCCCAGCCCAGCCCAGCCCAGCCCAGCCCAGCCCAGCCTGGGCGGGAGCAGGAGGCTGGAGGGCCCCAGGGGCCGGGAGGGGCCGGGGCGGGGCTGAGGGAGGAGGGAGTGGGGAGGCGGGAGGCCCAAGGGGAGATGAGCCTCCCTGCGTGTTAGGGCTGGTTTTCTGGTGAGACAGGGGGAAAGGTGCAGGGGTGGCCACAGCAACAGACGGGACCCTGTGAGGCCCAGGAGGGGTGGTTCAGGAGCCTAGGGGAGAGAGTCCAGGAGAGGGTGAGGCCAAGGACTGGGTGGTGTCAGAATGACCCAGAGGGAAGAGTCCTAAAGAGGAAAGATGGGGAGGGAGGCCAGGGGCTGGCTTGAGGCCACAGCCCAGAGGCGGTGTGAATGTGCTGAGTGGGGATGGATCAGCCGCCAGAGATATGGATGTTTGCTGTTGCGCCTGTAGTCGGGGTAGGGGTGAGGACTGGCCTGGCAGGGAGGAGGCGGGACATCAAGGGGAGAGAAAGACAGCCAGGGAGACCTCGGCCAGGAGTCAGGAAGAGAGAAAAGAGGGAGACAGAGATGAGAGAGCCAGGAGAAGATGGGGAAGGTGCCCTGGAGGGCGTGGAGCAGGGAAATGRACATGGGTTGACTAGGAAGCCCCTGCAGGAGCCAAGGTTGAGGGCTGTGGGTGGAGGACTGGGAGCAGGAAACCGGAAGGTGGAGACTGACCCTGGGAGAGGTGAAGGGAGCCTGTGAGGAACCAGCGAAGAGGAACGAGGGAGAAGGACCAGGTGAAGGGGAGCTAAGTGAAGGGCAGTAGGGGTGATGGGGGAGCACACAGGAAGCCAAGAGAACCTCCCCCCTCTTCGCCTAGGCCACCCACCCGAAGGGAGGCCTGTAAGCAATTCCTAAGGCCTTCACTCAGTCCTGGGGCCAGCTGCCCTGGTGCCTGCCCCTCCCTCGCTGCAGTGACTTCAGCATCACTCACGTCCCGCCCTTGGGACTAGAAAAGGTGTCTGCCTGTGTTTACACCCTGTCCTCCAGGGACCTCTGCTGTTGGGGCTGCGCCAGCTATCTAGGGAGGGAATAGGTGGGGCTTCCTTGTCCCACTGTCTCCTGGGACCTTGGGGCTGACCTCTTCACCCCACCTGGTTGGAGAGATACTGTCCAGAGTTTGTCAGGAACCCAGTCAGCAGCAGAAGCTTGTTATCTGTCCAGCTCTGATTTCCTCCCTAAGGTTTGAATAATGGAACAGCTGGAGGAAGAGAGTGGGGTGGAAGTGGTGAATGCCAGTGGAATAAAGCTACTACTAGGAGGATGGCCAGGGGCCAGGCAGGGCCAGGCAGGGCCAGCCTGCCTCACCTGGGGTCAGAAGAGGAGGTCAAGCCCCCTGAACTCCTGCTCATCTCACACAGAGCCCCTCTCCTGGGRCGTCATTCTGGGTCCATTGAGGAGAAACCACATAGCAGTTGGAACAGGGAAAGTTTGATATAAAGAGGATTAACTAAACTTGGGATTGAAGAAATGCAGGATTAGTCTGTTAATAAGAGGTGTCTACTTGAGGCTTGCAGTTGAAGGTGGCCGTGCAGATCCAATGTGATCACTCCAACCTGGTGTGTCTGTCTCCCTAACTAAGCCTTTGGATTCCTTGCCTCTATATTATGCCAGGGCAGTTCTAGTCTCAGCCTCTTTACTGTAGGCTACTTTTGGGTCCAAGTTCCAGTCAGCCAGCCAAGAACTGTTAGAACCACCCCTGCTGCACAAAGTAACCCATTTAATCAGGCATCTCTGGTAAGTGTGCTCACCTTGCAAATGTCAAAGCCCCTACTAGTGTCAGAACCACCCTCATTGGTCTGACACACTTAAAATCCATTCCTGCACACATTTCCCAAGTTTCCAACTACACATATATTTGCAGTCTTGTTCTATGGTATGTAAGCTGTTCCTTCCTGTATCCTGGTAGGTACCTGTTCCCCTGGAGCAAGCTGAGATTTGACCCTTGGCATTTATGGATGTGGGGCAGCAAGGGAACACTTGTAAGTCTTATTAATGGATGCCCCCTTTCAAAGTGAGGATCCCAAGTCATCACAAGTTTTCCAAGCATAGGCAGGTTGATAGATCTCTTGGCACTGGTAAAGGAGTCTTTGAGTAACTTGACGCTTTGAGATCTGTTTACTCTGGGTCCAACAGATGACCATTATAGCTTTTGGTGCTATAATGAAACCTCTCTAGTTCTTAGATGTGACATATTAGGCTTGTCATTATCTGTAAGCACTTAAAGGCATTCCCAAGAATCCATCAACATCTTACTGTTTAGAATTGTCCCAACTGTCACAGCTTTCAAGCCCAGCAGCCACCGGGGCTCCCACGCACGTGTTTCAGTTGGCAGCTCATCATGCTGGATCACCATAGGTGATGCCAGGGCTCTGATGCCACCTGTTTCCCATCAGCAAGGAGCTTAGCTTAAGCCCAAAGCTACAACCAAACCAATCCCAAAACTCTATTTAGGAGTCTGGGTGTCCTGAGAAACTGCAGACAGATTCTGCATCCATCTGGATCCAATCAGGGRAGGAAACCACACAGTAATTTCAACAGGCAAAGTTTAATATAAAGAATTATTGATCTCAGCAGTGAATTGGGATCACAAGGAATTCATTGGTAAACTGCCTCCGAATTGACCAGAAGCCCATCCGGAGTGCTGGGGAGTTATTCACAGAGAAGCATCAACAGAGGCCCCTGTGAGACCACTGGTGGAGGGGGCGGGCACCAGAGGAGGCTGTGGACCACATGGCTCTCCAGGAGCTGAGTGTGGGAGGAAGCCACCAGCACGGCAAGACCAAGACCTGGAGCAGGTAAGCTGTAGGTACAGCAGAGCACGGGCCTCTCCTCCTGGAGTGTTCCTCCAGCACCCTCTGGCGGGAAGTCTGTCCTGCCAGTTGGCAAAGGAAATATTTTAAAAGCTCAGCTTCACTTTCACAGAGCAGGCAGAAAAGTTGAATTTGGAGCTCAAAATCAATAAATCAATTACTGGCAACACTGGGAGTTCAGGTGGTACTACTGGCCTTCAGTAAGTGTGGGCCAGGGATGCTGGACATGCTGCTGTAAGCTGACCAGCCCTGCACTGGGGAGAGCCACTGCTGTCAAGTGCTTGCAGCACCCCATGTCAGGGTCCCTGCAAGAGACGGCCACATACTCAAATGTGGGACAGCTTGGGAGAGGCCTCTTGACAAGACTGAGCCATGCATGGGGCGAGGACATCTCCCTGTCCTACTGATTGGGAGCCTTTATCTCACCAGGCCCTAGAGGCAGGGGAAGGAGCAGTGTGTGGAAATGAGTGCCTGACAGGGTGACAAGAACCCTGACTGCCAGCCAAAGGCAGCTGGGAATAAACACCTGACCTCACGCCCTCGGACCTGCCAGGCCCTCTTCCCTGCTGCGGGATCCCCATTGCAAGTCAAGAGTGTGGGCGCCATCACACATTCCACCAGCCTGCTGCCATCCACGGGAGAGCAGAGTGGGCTGGGGTCAGGCAGGGTTGGGACTGGCCGAGTCCTGAGGCTGCTCCTCCAGCCTCAGCTACAGCGCCTGGTCCTCATCCATCCCCAGGACCTCACAGTTGGGCAGCATCTCCTCCACCAGGATCCGAGTGAGGCCTGGGTAGGACACAGCTGGGAGGTTTGAGATGTCCAGCCTGCGAAGGTTCCTGAGGGAAAGAAGGGCACTGCATGAGGACAGCATGTGTGTGCTTACAGTAGCTTTTTTTTTTTTTTTTTTCTGGGGATGGAACCCAGGCCTGAATGGCTAGGGCTAGGCAAGTGCTCTACCACTGAGCTACAACCCTGATCTCAAAACTTTATTATAGTAAGCCCATGAAATCCCTGGTTAAGTATACATTGTTCTGCATTAGTGTAAATACCATGAAGGCTTCATTAAAAGAAAACCATCATTTTAATTCTTCYAGACATGTGCTGCGTGCGACTGCTCATCCATACCTACCCCACAACCTTAGGGTATAGGGACAGCCCAAAATTGCTCCCTCCCCACTTTCTCTCCAGCATCAGGGTCRGGTGGGAGATGCCCTGGGGCAGGGCCCAGGCTGAGCTGAGGTCTTACTGGAGGTGGTGGAGGCAGGCGAGGCCCCGTTCAGAGATGTGGGGACACCCTGATAGTGAGAGCTCCTGCAGTGAACCGGCCAGGAGGTAGAGGCGGCTGAGACACCAGTCGTCCACATTGGGGCAGCRCTGCAGCGACAGGGACTGGAGCTCCTTCAGGGGCACTGTGGTGGGAGAAGGCAGGAGGGTAGCAGGGGCTGTCTGGAGCCTACCACCAGAAAGGAAGATGCGGAGGCCCTCCGACCCCTTCCCTTTCTGCCCCCTCACAGAGGTTGTCCAGKCCGTCGTAGTTGATGGCACAGCCACTGGCGTCCACAGCCTGCACAGGCACTGTCTGTAGCTTCAAGAACTCAAGGAAGAAATGGCCACGCTTATCCGACCTGATCCACTCATGGTCCTGAAACCTGCAGAAGAGAGGGAGGGAAGCCAGGGGTGGCAGTGCAAGCCTATAATTCCTGCAACTGAGGAGGGTGAGGCAGGAGGATCACAAGTTCAAGGACAGCTGACAGTTTAGTGAGGTCCTCAGCAACTTAGCAAGGCCCGGTCTCAAAAAAATAAAAAGGGCTATATATGTAGCTCAGTGGTAAAGTACCCCTTGGCGACTGCACTAACACACTTCCTGTATACACATCAGCCTGTGCTGAGAGCCTCACGGCGAGGGCCTTGTTGGATCCCATGACAATTCCAACACAGATGGAATGCTTGTCCAGGCTCACACACCTGGAGGCTGAGAGGCCTAGGGAATACAGATAACATATGAGCACAGAGCTAGGTGCATCAGTCCTTRTAGATGGGCAATGGTTACAGGCATTCCAGACTGTCCTAAGGAGGTTGCTCAAGGAAGTGCTCAGACTAGGTCCAAGTTGTTTATTTTTTAAAATTTTTGCAGTACTGAGGATTGAACCTGGGGCGCTTCATTACTGAGCTACATCCTTAGCTCCTTTTATTTTTTTTWAAATATATATTTTTAGTTGTAGACAGACACAATACCTTTATTTATTTACTTTTATGTGGTGCTGAGGATTGAACTCAGTACCTTCAATGTCCTAGGCAAGTGCTCTATCACTGAGCTACAACTCCAGTGCTTTTTTTAAAATTTTGAGACAAGGTCTTGCAAAGTTACCCAGGCTGGTCTCAAACCTGCAATCCTCCTGTTTTGGCCTCCTGAGTTGCCAGGGTTTCMGGTGTGCACCACTGTGCCTGGTCAGGTAAGCTTTTCAAATGGAACAAACATGAGGATTAGATGAATCTTCTGGGAACTATTTTTCCAAAAAGAAGGAAAAAATATCAGGAAGGAGGAGAAAGGGAAGGAGAATCAAGTGGGGAGAGGGAGCGAAAAAAGAAAAACTATTTTCTTTTTGAGATGAAGTCTAGCTATGCTGTTCAGGCTGGCCTTGAACTCCCAGGCTCACGCAATCCTCCTGCCTCAGCCTCCTGAGTAGGTGCTGAGACTATAGCAGTGACTAACCAATTTTATTGAGCACATGTTATGCAAGGCCTCATTACAGATGTTTAGACTACAGAATTCCAGCCCTTACTGTAAACCTTGTTGATTAGCTACAATCATCAATCACATTTTATAGATGACACAACAGAAGCCCAGGAACAGSTCCCACACCCCACAGTCACTAGGTGGCAAAAACTGGTACACAGGAAAGCCTATTTGACTGCAGAGGCTGGTCTCGGAACCCTGCTGCCCCTCCCAACCCACAACAGAAACCTTTGCTGTCATACTTGACTGCACCTCCCTGCTTCAGGACAAAGAAGGCTCCCGCGATGTACGGGCCATATTTCTCCTGGATGTGGGCGAGGGATCTGCCAAGAAAATAGTAGTAAAGGTAAAGCCTGAGAGCACCGCACCCCTCGCCATGCCCCAGTGCTGCTGAGAGGGGCAGAGTCCAGAGCACTGGGCAAACACACCTGGCTGTGAATCTTTATTGAATGACCATTAAATGCTGGGCACTGGGGGCACAGTGGTGACCACAGCAGATAACCATCCCTGACCTTCCTTTTTGAGCTATCTGAAAAGAAGAGATAGATGATGCTCCAGGAAATAACCACAAATGGCAGAGTACCAACACAATGATGAAAAGAAGACACGGTGGACAYCCACAGGGAGTGGCTTGGTCAGGGGCTAGACTGGTGGAGACTGATTTAGTTTTAGGTGTTAAAAGACAGTTCTTGGGGGGGCTGGAGCTATATGTAGCTCAATGGTAAAATGCTTGCCTTGCATATGTGAGGCACTGGGTTTGATCCTCAGTACCACATAAAAATAAATAAAGATACTGTGTGTTTATCTGCCACTAAATAAATATTTTTATTTTTTAAAAATATTTATTTATTTATTTTTTTTTTAGTTTTTGGCAGACACAACATCTTTGTTTGTATGTGGTGCTGAGGATCGAACCCGGGCCGCACGCATGCCAGGTGAGCGCGCTACTGCTTGAGCCAAATCCCCAGCCCAATAAATATTTTTTAAAAATTAAAAATTAAAAAGACTGGGTCTGGGTTTGTGGCTCAGCGGGTAGAATACTCGCCTAGCACATGTGAGGTGAGTATAAACAAAATAAAGGTATTGTGTTGTAACTACAAAGTAATAATAATAAAAAAGACAGTTCTTGGAGATAGTGAGATTGGGCAGACTTGAATAGTGAGAAGGAATGAGAAGGTCAAGGCCAGGGCCTGCCAGGCCTAAGGAGCAGAGTAGCCAAGCTCAGAGGCTTGAATTTCAATGGCTGGGTTCCTAGCAACAAGGAGGCCTTGTAGGTGGGGGTGAGGGGAGTCCCTGGGAGGGGTCTCAAAGTTCATGGCAGCCAGGTCTTAGGGCCTTGGAGATGGGGCTTTTACTTTAGTCAGAAACCACTTGGAGTTTTAGGCAGGTGGTGATGGTTTATATTTTACTTTCTTGTGGGTYCTTTGATTGCTTTGTAGACTGTAACTGAGAACATATTAAAGGTCAAGAGATGACCACAGTGACCTGACATTATAAACAGAGGAGGTGACCAGACCTGGAATATTCTAATGTTGATGCACTGAATGTGGAGGGCGGAGAAGCTAAGAGTTAAGAGGATTCCTTAAAAATCAGTCTGAGGGCTGGGGATGTGGCTCAAGCGGTAGCGCGCTTGCCTAGTGTGCATGCGGCCCGGGTTCGATCCTTAGCACCACATACAAACGAAGATGTTGTGTCCGCCAAGAACTAAGAAAAAAAAATAAATAAATGTTAAAATTCTCTCTCTTAAAAAAAAAAAAATCGGTCTGAATGTCAGTAGCACCAGTTCCTGTGATGAGGAAGGCTTAGGTGAGCAGGTTCTTTCTTTTTTTTTTTTTTAAAGAGAGAGTGAGAGAGGAGAGAGAGAGAGAGAGAGAGAGAGAGAGAAAATTTTTAATATTTATTTTTTAGTTCTCCGCGGACACAACATCTTTGTTGGTATGTGGTGCTGA